TACTATCACAATGTGCAAAGATTTTGATGATTTTTTATGGCTCTTCTGAAATGCATCTGTACTAGAATGAAGTCTCTTTCATTTTTGCTACAATGCTATGGCCCTCCCAACCCTGTTGTATGGTGCCGAGTCCTGGACGGTGTACCAAAGCCATGCCAAGAAGTTTAATCATTTCCGTATGAAATACCTCAGGAGAATTCTAGGCATCAAATGGCTGGACAAAATACCAGACACCGATGTTCGCAAGAGGACAAAAGCCGAGAGTCTGTTTTCTAAGCTCAAAAGGACTAAACTTCGCTGGGATGGCCATGTCGTGAGAATGCCTGATTTCAGAATACCCAAGCAAAAAGCAGTGTTCTACTCTGAATTGTCCTCAGAGAAGCGCACCAAAAATGCACATCAAGGACACTCTGAAAATGTCTGTGAAGGACTTCAACATAAATCCTTCGACACGAGAGAACCTTGCTCCTGACAGACCCAGCTGGAGAGCAGCAGTCACGGTGGGCAGCAAATCATATGAGGCTTCACGAATAAGAAATACTGGAGCCAAGAGAGAAGCACACAAGCTGCCCACATCCACAAAAGGAAGGGAAGCTTTTTAACTTCAAAGTGTTCACAATGTGGCAAACTTTTGTCTTCCAGGATTGGTCTCATTGGCAACAGAAGAAGCCACAAGCCTTTGTAACCTTTAAGTTTTCTAATTCTTCTTTTTCGTCGGGGTAATATTCTCCTCTGTGGATGTTTTGGCCATCATCAGACATCGACAGATGAACTATTATTATTAAGTTCTAGCTACAGAACAGTTCCATGTGTATTGTATACTTGGGTGAATTTGAATACAAGTATTAGAAATCACGAAATCGTTATGTCTGCGTTCATTTTTCTTCACTAACCTAGAGACTACGCAATCAAGACTTTACAGACATCATTGATATGGCGATTATGCGCTTCATAGTCACACGCAGAAGACCCAAGTTCGATTCCCGTGTGGGGAGAGTTTTTATCGACTATATCATGGTCCCTCATTTAGACGTTCGGTCCCTCTAAGCCCGGCTTTGCTGTGACAGAGGAGGTCGAAGCCCGCCTCCTACAAGATCTATAGTATGCTATTGGTCGCGTCCCC